TTTTATTTGAAAGTTGATATATATATATATACTTATTTATTATTTTTTATTTTTCTCTTAGGTACACATCGTGGGACCTGTACAATGATATTGGAGACTTTTCACATGGTATGTATAAGTTTGGATATTATATTTTAAACTGAGCATTATAAACCCATAAAATGATTTACTATAAAATATTATTCATTTAACTGATATTAAATTACACGTTTTAATTTATTTTATAAGACGAAATTATGAAATACATAATTTTGATTAGATTTTTATCATATAAATTTAAATGGTACAAAAATATTAAATTAAATTGTATTTGTTACATTTAAAATCCAATTAGCGATTAAATTGAATTTAAAAGTGATTTATTTAAGTTAACTAAAGAACCATTAGAATTTTTTATTGAGGTAGTATCATGTTTAATTTAATATGAACATGCATTATATGGAGGAGTGTACAAATTTTCACTAGTTATATGGCGTTATATAAAGGAGATTTACATTTATGAACAAATCGTTATTCTGGCTCTATATTATTTAAAAATATTGTAATTCACTTTAAGCAAAACGATTTCGAACATTGGAAAATTTGATTTCAGTAAATCTTGTGTTCATAAAATGCCACTTTCGCTATATAAATAAAAAAACTTTATGAGGAAATTATTATATGCTTAACATTGAATTTGAAATTAATGACAAGCAGTTAACGTAATGCTATTATAAACTATGAATATAAGTCTACAAAACTCATTGTTAATATTTTGTTTGTACTTGATGATAATCACCAACGAAATGTATCCAAAGTTATAATTTATGCATAAGCTTTTACAATGAAGATCTTTTRAAATATATGTGTTTTATGTATACCTATTGAGTAGCATCGTAGTTATTATTTGCCAAATTGTTTTTATTTATAATTTTAAAATAATATTATTAGAGTGTTTTAATTTAAAACTTTTATTATAAAAACATACAAGAAACAAAAAAAAAAAAAATGTGACGTCCATATTTCTTAAATTATATGGTATAGAGTATTTTATTTAAGTATACCTATAATATATTAAATTCCTTTCGAGTTTAGTTAAATCAACAGTATAAAAATGTTAAAATATGTTTTTGTACTTATCTCATTGACCGGAATAAAATAAAGTCTCTGAACATTATTTTATCAGGTTGTAACTCATATTTGTTTTTTAACATTACCGTTATTTATTTAATTATTTTTATTGAATCAAAACTATTCACGACCTACGTCTGAACTGTTAAACTTTATCAAATACTTTTTATGGCAAAAAAGTATTAAATTAATTTCTCGTTAGAAAAAAATAACAATAAAAAAAAAAAAATTGTTTTGTATAAAATATTCATAGTAGTTACCTTAGACTTGGAATGATTCCYATAGTCCTATGATATTTTGTAGCATATTCTTTATTTCAGTTCTTATAATATCTAATAAAATAATTACAGGACTGATACAAATGTTATTAATACGATCAAGAACCTAATACATTTAGACTGTAGAGATTACTGCCTGAAACTTTTGATCACATTGTAACAACTTTTATACAACATTTATATACGTAGATAGATAGTTTTAGCAAATAGGTTTTTGAAAAATAGTGAAAATCTGTAAAATAATTAATTTAATCTAGCAGTCTTAAGATTCTTAACTGTTATTGGATGGACTCGTATCTACTCGGAATTGTGAGTATAATCATTCATAACTGCATTTACTTATATATTTAAAAGATACTTAATATTAACTTAAATCGTTTTCATAATTGCAAACTAAAAATATTCCTAATTTTTTTAATTATATAAAAACTCTTCGGATATACTAAGTCATTATTACGTCTAAAATTATGATATTACATTGATTACCTACATATTTAAATCGAACATGATATTATACTTTAAATAAATGATAAAGATTGAGTTAATTTATTTGTCTGTTATTTTTAGGATGATCCTTCTAACATGCTTTACTTTTCTTTGTCCTAATTAATGAATTTATTCAAATTCTGATTTTGAAATTTTTAACTGTAGGTAGAAGTTAAGAACCATATTTTAAAATACTTCTTTTAATAATCATAAGTTTTAATTATTTTTTTTAATACCTACATTATTTTATAATACACCATTAAAAGAGATAATTTATATAAATTTATWTTTTTCAAACAAATTTTTAAAACTACTAATTAGAAGGGTTACGACTCGAATTTCGAACAAGTAATTTTTGAGGTACCTATTCAACTGTATTTGAGATGTTGACAATAATTATGGTTCTTAATAAAGGTTTTACATAAAATATAAATCATACGTAATATTTAGTCACTAATTATACTTATTATTACTACAAATTTTAAAAATTATATAATAATAATAGACCTTTTTTTTCCTTCTTGAAACCGGGAACGGGTGGGAACTGTTTAGCACAATTATACTGCCACCCGAAATAATAATAGACCTATATTTAATTTAATTGCATAGGTGCCATAATTTTATAGCTACCACAATTCACATGGCTTCTAAGTCTATTGTCATGGATTATCAATTTATATACTCGATTGACGATTCTATAATAAATACATTAAGTGTAATAACTCAGAAATTACATGTTTAGATTTTGAATAAGTATCTATACAGTATTTTACACAGTCTTAGACAAAAGTTGTTTAAAATTAAACTGTACTATATATATTTTATATTAATTTATTATTCAAAACGAATAAATAAGGAGACGAAAATAATTTATTGGTAATGTTTTGAACAAAAGTGAATTAAATATTGATATTAGTTCATCAATATTCATTATGTGGGTATACTTTAATATCTCATCTTAACCTGGAAATTGGAACTATAGTGATTCAATATTAAAAGAAAAACACATTTATAAATGAAAATAAAGTAAATATTATTAAAAAAATATGATATGAACATTTTAAAATATTTTTATTTTGTGTCCACGTCTATATTGAACATTCTCACCTTAGAATTTCTTTGGGTTATTGTTAAAAAAAAAAAAACTGATAAAAAATAAAAAATATATAATTATCTTCGGATTTTATGCATGTTCACTATGACTGTTCGTTTAATATAATTCCACGTTGCATGATAGGAAGTGATGCCAAATTAAAATATTATTGTTGGATAAATATATTTTTTGTAGTTTCCCGTAGCTTATAATTCTTGTTATAATTGGCGGTACTCCAATTGCAATGTAAGATTTCTGATACTTAGTTTTAAAATTTGATATGTATACTATCAATGAAAATATAAATTCATTTGCATCTGGTTTTTATGTTCTGSCTATTTTTGTTTATAAAACTTMATAATACCTTTACATACATTTTACGTTCAAAATATTATGATATACATTTTTGTATGTACGCAATATGTATTATTATTATTACTATTTTTTGTTATTAAAAAAAAACTTTTTATCTATAAACATAA